TCTTAGGGACAGCTCCTGGTGGCAAGTGGCAGGGAGGGGTGATTAGCTGGGCTACCAAGGGAGATTAGACAGCAATCAAGACCATGTTAAAGTTCAGCAGAGATGGCACCTCCAGTCCCAAACATGCCTTCTGGACTTGAAATCAGCAGATTAAGACAATTCCAGAGCTAAGCTATTCCCAGAATTTCCCATTAGGCTTTTTACCCCCACAGGCTTTTATAGACACCAGTGATCAGCCAACAGTTCAATGACTAAGCAGATGAGAGCACAGGTGGGATTGAAGGCCAACCTGCTTTCTCTTCACATATTTGTGCCAAAGAGGAAGAGGAGGAGGGCTTGGGAAGGCAAAACCCCACAGATTAATGAGGTGTACCCACTTTTTCAAAATGTCTTGCTTCTTCTGTTCATCAGACGTGGGCAGGCCCATGGATTTCTGTCGTTGATCATACATCATTTTCTCCACCATGCTGCGAGTTTCACTGTCCAGGTCTGACAGCTGAAAACAAGATCAAAATTGGAACCACTTGGCTCAGGTGAGCCCATTTCTGACAAAGTTCCATCCCATAAAACAGAGGAGTTCTTACCTTTGAGTTCTCTGGATTAATTTTCTTGGTGTTGATCTCCGGGTCTGTGGAGACCAGTTTGTTCCACCATTCCATCTTGTTGATCTGAAGGGCAAAGAAGCAAAAGTATTTTATTTTTCTTGGACTTGCTCTAGGAGTTTTAAGTTTCAGTCACAGGAAAAAGCTGCTGGAATCGAATTTTATTTGACAGTTTCCTAAATATTAGTAAAATCTGAAGAGGGATAAAGGGTACTACTTTTATTTCAAACTACTTCGGGTAGCCTGAATTTTCACAACTGGGAAATCTGGGAGAACATCACATGTCATGTTTGGGATGAGATAAATGGGATTAAAAATGAATCACCTGAAGAGGCCCAGAAAGAAGGCAGTGAGGGACACAAAAAGGGACACAATAGGATCTGTCCCTGGATTTTCATGTCACTAACAGATGTCAAAACGTGCCATTATTCCATTAAGGAACAACTTTAAAATGCCTGATTTCCTTCCAGCTTTTTCTGAACTGCTGAGAAATCCACTGGATATCCTGGATTAGCCTGAAATTAGGCTGAAGACAGGGAATTTGCAATATCCCACTTCCACTGGCAACAATGACACTGCACTAAGGATAACCAAGTGGTCACCTGATAAAGCCCAGGGTTGTCACTCTCATTCCACCTGGGAAGAGGCAGCCAAGCCTGAATCCTCCCCAAGCCATTCCCTTACCTTCTCCAGGTGCACAGTGACTGTTTTACCATCTTCAATGAGCCAGGAGCTCTCCTCCACCTTCACCTCATTGAAGAGCTCCCCATCAATGACAGGAGAGTGGCCCTTCAGGCCGACTTTGAGGCGGCGTCTCTGGACATCGACCACCACGTCCTTCCCCTTCAACCTGAAGTTCACCTTGAAAGGGATGGCCAGCTGGAGCAGACAAAGAGCAGATTTTGAGAAGCTGGGCAGTGAATTCTCTCCTTACCCTCCTGTGCTGCTGTTCCAAGACTTTCTGCCTTGGTTTCACAGAGCACAAACTATTTTCCTTCGGATACTGAGTGAGTGGGAGGTAAAAGGATACAAGGGGCCATACAAAGGGAAGCAGATTTTGATTTCAAACATAAAAAATTTGGCCTTTAAAACAAGGCCAAAACTTGGCAAACTACAGCTCCTGGGAATTTTATTCAGTTTACCAAGCTCTCCCCCAGCTATTGAAATGCTGCTGTTAAGTACAACTAACAAACTTCCACAGGACACTGAGACACAGGGAATCAGCTCCACCACTCTGACCAGCACCTGCTCTTATTCCCTATCTCAGATTCCTCAGATCCTGGTAATAAAGCAGGACTTACATCCAATTCTGAAAGAGTCTGTGTCCACCTATAATTTGGAAGGTCAGCTCCATTGCCAGAGTTGGGTTTGAGTTTTCCTTTATCCTTCTCGTCTTCCTCTTCATCATCTGTTCCCTAAGAAATTCAAGAGTAAAGAAAAAAGCTTTTCAAGTTTCCATTTATCTTTCACTTGTAACAACAGTTATTGAGGTTTATAAGAAGTTCAGGTCAGGTGTTTGTGTTTGATAGCCACATAAACTTAGCCCAAAAATTAACAGATGCTGTTGTTACAACACGATTACAGGAAAAAAAGCCAAAAAGACCCAAACTTTATTGAAATTTTTGGGAACTCTGTGTGTATTTTTAAAGAAAGTCAGAATGGACATCCCCTCACATTCACAGGAGTTCTTATGACTGTCCAGAAATATGTTTCTCAGCCTAAGGCCAGGCTGGACAGGGCTTGCAGCAACCTGGTCTAGTGGAAAGTGTCCCTGCCCATGGCAGGGGGTGGAAGTGGACGAGCTCTAAAGGTCCCTTCTAACCCAAACCACTCTGTCATTCTAAAATAAATTTCCCAGGTGAGTTTTACCTGTTTGTTAGAATCTGATTCAGCTTCATCCTCTGAGGGTTTCACTGGGACACTGTTGACCTGCCCTTGTGCCTCTTTCTTCTGTTTAAAAAGAGAAGGAAATACGCTCAGCCAAGCGCTGGCACTTGGTGTCACTTCCTGACCAGGCACTAGATGGCCTCAGCCTCTTCAGCTCAAGCTGAAGAGCAGGACTTGGGAATTGCATCCAAGACTTTGAAAACAGGGAATTTTCAACCTTTAAAAAAATTACAGGAAAGAGGTACTACCAAGGGGAAGATTCCCTTTGTCCTCACACTGCCACGACTGCAAAGGAACAAGGCTGAGCCATTTTGATGCGTTCCAGCACCCGACAACACTCTCACCTGGTTGATTTCGAGCTGCAGCCTTTCTGCTTCCTCATCCGTGAGTTCCTTGATCCTTGGCTCGTTGGCTTCCTGCTTTTCCTTGGCCAGTTTGGCGGCACGTTCGGCCTTTTCGCGCCGCTCGGCCTCCTGACGGGCCTTCTTCTCCTTCCGCTCCTTCTGAGCCAGTTTGTTGTGGTGGTTGAAAGCATCTGTGATCAGCTGAAAGACAGGAACAAAGACACAAGGGTTTTAAAATAAATCACCCATTTCAAACCCAAATGGAGCCAGCTTGGTCTAGTGAGGAGCTCATTCGTTCAATCACAGGGGGTGTTGTGACTTTTCCCTTTGTTTTCACTCGGGTTTTGACTGAAAATACTGAGATTTTTCAGTTGAAAAAGAGAGAAGAAAAGAAAGAGAAAAGAGGGAAAAAAATATAAAATATTCAATATTTAAATAATTATAAAATACTTAAATGTAGGCCTTCTTAGTTCTTCCCTACACAAGGTGTGTATTTTCATGGAGATAACATAGGAATAAAAATTCTCCACGTATTTTGTCCTTTGTGCTATTCCAGCAGGACGAGCTGATGCCCAACCCAGCCACCTGACAGCTACTCCACATATCTAGGCCAGCTGGAAGCACAGGGACACAGAGTCCAAGTTTTTTTACCTACTTCTGACCTTACCCACGTCTGGGCTTCTCCCAGACGGAGCTGCCACGACTGAGATGAGAAATGCTTGAAAACCTCCCGTGTTTTACACTAGAGGGGCAAGTTCCTCCATAAATCTTTTCTTTCAGCCTCCCTCCAAACTCCCCAAAAGGTTGTTGTGACTATTGAGAGGCAAAATCTCAAGGTCCCTGGTGCCAACGGCCACGTGCTCAGCGGGAAAGCTGAGTACACAGGCAGGGAGCCAGAGCAATTGCCCCACCTCGATAAAGCCAGGGGTGCTGTGCAGGGCAGCACGTATGTGAGCTGAAGGCTGCCCCAGAAAACAGCACAGACAGAGCCTGAGGAAGGAATTAGAGGGGAAAAATTGATTTATATATGTTTCAGAAACTTCTGGGGGGGGTTCAGCACCTTTTTCGAGCAACCTGCAGTTAAAAGCCTCGTAGTTTGTAACCAAGCCCTGAGTGTTTCTGCTTTGTTCTACAGAGGAAAGCAGGATTTATTTACACAGTGCGAGTCCAGTGACTCCTGGGACACAGGATCCAAGAAGTGTGTGTGCCTCCCAGACTCTGTTCCCAACCCCACGACGATCCATGGTGAGGGAACTGTTTACACTGCCCGAGCTTGTGGGTGTCACCCACATCCCCCTCACTCCACATGAGGGCTGCACCCAAAAAACACAGTGACCTTCCCACCCTCTCCTCTTTCTCTTCCATGCCAAAGGGTGAGCAGGACTGGGGGAGCAGCTTCTGCCATTTTTGTTGTGCAGAGCACTTTCTCGGGAGGCCGTAAAGCACTTTGACGGGTGCCACCCGAGGACATGAACACTTTTTTTCTACAGGCACAGATCTGACAAGGACAGTGGCCAGGACATGCCAAAGCACAGCCAGTGCTCCCCTCTGAAATGCCACTCAGGGTTTCACTCCCTGGGAGCACAGAGCCCCCAGGAATTTGGGGATATTTGCTCTCTAATCTAAGTGACAGCGGGGTTTATCTTTCTTACTTTGATAGAATCGCAGGATGGTTTGGGTTGGAAGGGACCTTACAGATCACCCAGTTCCACACCCCTGCCGTGGGCAGGGACTCCTTCCACTAGACCAGGTTGCTCAGAGCTCCATCCAACCTGGCCTTGGACACTTCCAGGGATGGGACATCCTCTTTCCCATCCCTTACCTCCCTCAGCTTTACCACCTTAGGGACTGGACAGAGGATGTCACACCCTGTGCAAGCACCTAAAAGCTGCCCTAACACATCCCACTGGTGGAGTTCCAGCAGTCCAGGAGGAGGAACAGCTGCTATCCTGGTAAGTATAAGAAGGAAATGTTCAGGGAGCCTGGCCATTTTGTGTTTCAATAAATATTTCCTTAAGGTGAAACTTAGTTTTTCAGCCTTGGAGCTGGGTGAGGGCAGGACAGGTGATGCTCAGGCTGCTCGAGGCTCCCCAGAACACTCACTCCATCCAGCCCTGAGCCAAAGGTGCAGCTGCATGTGCAGGGACGTGGACTTTGTGCTTTTTCTGAGGTGAACAAACAAGGTAACCCGGGGTTATCAGCACCCTGGCGTGTCACCGTTAAGTCAGTGTGTCTGGCAGGTTTGCTTTCCAAACAAGCCTTTGGCCAGAGTCTGGCAGAAAAACCTGCACTGTTGGTAACATCTGAGCAGGCAATTGTGTGTTCCTCACCTCTGAGAGGGGCAGCTCCTTGTTTCCTTCCTCCCCTCTGAGAGGAGCAGCTCCTTATTTCCTCCCTTCTGTGATGGATTTCAGGAGCACCACGAGCTGCTGGTGCCCCAAGTACACCCAAATGCAGGGTGTTGTTCAGGCAGGGAAGTCTTAGCCTGGCACAGACACGAGTGGGATGTAAATTAAAAAGTTAAAAGCTCAAGGGTTTACTTTTTACCTTCTCTGCCACTCCATCTTCTCCCCCAGTGAAGAAATCCGTCTTCCTCCTCAGGAAGCTGAAGAAGGTGTTCACAAGCTGGTGGAAAGAAAAGGATCAGTGAGACCAGGTCACTCCAAGCCATCCCCTGTCTCTGGATCAGCCCTTATCCTTTGTCCTCTCCACCTGTGGCTGTGTCAAAATCATCCTGGAATCAGTCCTGTGACTGTTTTCCTGGAGAAAACATCCAGCTCCTGGATTCCCACCTTCCAGAAGAGGCATTTGTGTGGTTTGCATGAGGAAAGGGCAGCAGTTTACCCTCAGGTCCTGCTCCAGTACCCCAAGCTGTTATCCAAGGCAGGAATTTGGGCAGGGATACATATACATATATACCACGTTTTGCTTCTTTTGCATGCCTAAAAGTGTGCAAACTCTTTATTTTTACACAATAATCACCAGCTGCCTGCCAGGGGTCACTGATGAGTGAACAGGTACCAACCAGCATCCCCAAACCCCTGTGGGAACACATATTCTTGGCTGATCTTCTTTTTCCAGGAATTCTGTGCTGTGGGTGTTTCAGTCTGAGATTTCACTACAGCACGAGGGGCTGGTTTAGGAGCGTTTTTTTAAGCTATTTGTGAGTGGAGCGTGAGTGGGGGGGTCCCACACCCTCCAGCCCTGCTGCAGGGCAGCACCCGGGATCGCGGAGCCCCCAGCCAGAGGGATCCCGGTGGGATCCGCGAGGGGGGTCAGCAGATCCCTGAGCACGAGGAGGGGGAGCAACGATCGCGGTCAGGCCTCACGGGGCCGGTGGTTGTACTGTGAAAGAGCAACTGAGGGGCTCCATCCTGCCCTGTGGTGAGCCGGCACAGGCGCTGCCCGCGCATCCTGAACCCTCCGGGAAAGCTCCGGGAATCCCGAAGGCGCCAGGGCCGGTGGTTTAAGGCCCCCTCGTTAACATCCTATTAATTAACTAGCGGGGCTGCCCAGGGCCGTTATCTCCGCTCCCGTAGCACCGCACGTGCCTCCCGTGCCCCACGTGCCGGGGCGGGATCCGAGAAGGCCGCGCCGCGCCCCCCCCACGCCCCGTTCCTCCTGGTCCTGCCCCGCCGTCCCGCCCCCAGCTCTCCCGGTGTTCCGGCGGCGCTACCTCGCGCACGCCGCCCTGGTGCTGCTGCGCCATGGCGAGCAGCATGCCGTCGAAGCGATCCTCCTGCTCGGCCGCATCCTCCGCGCTCAGCCCCATCCTGCCGCCGCCGCCGCCACACCGGGCCCCGCCGGAACCGGAACCGGCGCCCGCGGAAACGCGCGCGCCTGCTCTCAAACCGCCAATCACATCGCGCCGCCGCACCGCTCTCTTCTTGGATTGGTTGAAGGAACTGTCAATCCGCGCGGTGCTTTTCGCGGATTGGTTGAGGTCGCTGCCAATCTGGCCGGGAAGGCGGGGCGCGAGGCGCGGCGCGGTTGCTATAGCGACGGGACGGGCGGGTTCCCGCGGCCCTCGGGGGTCCCGGGCCCTGGTGGGACCCCCCCGGGCACCGGGACCCCCCGGCACCCGCTGCTGTCACGGGAGCGGCCCCAGCGCTGCCACCCGCCCTGCGCCCCCCTCTCCTCCGCGTCCCGCCGGGGCTGGGGTCCAACATGATCCCTGGGCGAGAGAATTGAGGTGGGAGGTTCTCCCTCTTCCTCCTCCCTCAAAGGTTCCCCCTGTCCCCTGCAGGAATCCTCACCCTGAAAGTGCCTCAGCAGTGCCCAGCACAGAGGGACAGTCACTGCTCTGGTCATGTGGCCACACCATGGCTGGTACAAGCCAGGTGCCCTTGGCCTTCTTGCCCACCTGGGCTCACGTTCAGCCGCTGCTGACCAGCTCCCCCAGGTCCTTTTCCACTGGGAGAATGTAAGAATTCTGCCCTCTTTTCCTCCCTTTTCTCTCATGCTGCAAATGGGGGCATTTGCCCTTCTCCAGCCCAAGAGACAACACCCGTGGCCCTTCCTGGGCACTTCACCAGGTTCCTCTTCCTCCCAACCACAACAGGAGCCTCCCGAGCAAGGCCGGGCAAAACCAGCCGCTGATAACACGACTTCCAGGTTGCTCCTGCCAAGGCCGGGCCGTTGAACTCCAGGGCCCAGACGAGCGCCCTTTGTTTGTCTGTGAGGTCCTGGCAGCGACACCCGCCCCACGACAGCTCAGGGGCCTTGGTGCCATGGTACAGCCTGGGGTAATGACTCTGTTTATCCTGTTTGGGTAATCCTGATAACGGCCCAACCCGCCGTCCCCCCCTCCCCGGCGATTCATTGAGAAAACGGCTGTTGACGCAGCGCTGGGAACTCATTTGCCCCCGGCCAATCAGCCCAGGGACAGCGGGGCTGGTTGGGTGTTTTTTTTTAATGAGGGCGGCTTAATCAGGGCGGTCAAGGCTGTGGAGGGGTGTTTCAGTGGTGACCAAGCCTTATAAGAGCTGGCTGGCGCAGCCACAGGGCTGGCAGAGCTGGGAGGACGGAGATTTAAGGAGGGGTTTTACGGGAGTTTCGCCGAGGACCCGGCTCAGCTATGAGCACCAGCGTGGGCACGGAGTGCGAGAGGTGCCAGTGCCACAGCAAGGATAAGAACACTGCCATCCTCTACACCCTCCTCAGCCAGAACCTGCACCCCGGGCGGGCCCGGCAGCGCTGCCTGTGCCACCAGCGCCGCACCGTCCGGCTGCGCACGCCACACGTCACCTGCCAGGCGGCCTCCGACGTGCTGGTCAAAACCATCAGCTTCATGAAAAACCTCCCTTCCTTCTACCTGCTGCCGAAGGAGGACCAGCTCCTGCTGCTGGATAGCTGCTGGGTGCCCCTCTTCCTGCTGGGGCTGGTGCAGGAGATGGTGACCTTCGAGGTGATGGAGGCGCCGGCCCCCAGCATGCTCAAGAAGATCCTCCTCAGCGGGCAAAGCAAAGGGCAGGAGCCTGAGAGGACACAGCCCACACTGGCTGCAGTGCAGCGGCTGCAGTGCTGCCTCAACACCTTCTGGAGCCTGGATCTGAGCCCTAAGGAATACGCCTATCTGAAGGGAGCCATCCTCTTCAATCCAGGTGAGTGCCAGGCCCTCGTGGCTCTGCCGGCTGGAGCTGGCAGCTGAACACTGAATCACAGAATCACTGAGGGTGGAGAAGGCCTCCAAGATCATCGAGTCCAACCTGTGATCACCCCCTTGTCAACTAGACTAGAGCACTGAGTGCCACATCCAGTCATTCCTTGAACACCTCCAGGGATGGGGACTCCACTTGCTCCCTGGGCAAACATAGACCTCTTGGCTTGGAGCTGCTCAGAGCTGGGCAGGTGTGAGAGCAGAGAGGGCTGGTCACCTTCTTCCTAATTCTGGTCATTCCCAAATGCACTGGGAAGCAGGGTGGAGGGATGTCAAATGTAGTGGTAAAAGCCAGAGGACTTTGCCTGCAGACAGCAAACCCAGGTTCCTTTACTTGATTTTCCCAGTTAACTGCTTTTCCTCCCTCACACAGCATCCCTGGAGTAGCCACATCTCAGCACCGCTGTGTACATCCCATTAGTGTGCCCTGCTGAGAAATAGGGAAGGGTGGGAGCAGGGGAAACCTGGAGCTGTTTTCCATCCTGCTTCATCCCCACCTTCCCCTCCTCTCCCTCACAGACATCCCCGGGCTGAGGGTTTCCCTCTACATCGAGAGCCTGCAGCGGGAGGCCCAGCGAGCCCTCCAGGAGGTCGTGCAGCCGCTGCACCCCGACGACCAGGGACGCTTTTCCCACATTTTACTGGTCGCCTCCTCCTTAAAATCCATCCCCCCCACCCTCATCACGGATCTGTTCTTCCGGCCCGTCATCGGCGACGCCGACATCGCGGAGCTGCTGGTGGAGATGCTCTACGAGGCTCCGGGGCTCTGTGTGCCCTGCTGAGCCCACCAGGATGCTCCCCACACCTTGCCAGGATCCACAGCAGATCCAGGAGAGGGGATTTAGGGAGAGAAGCGCTCCGGACTCTTTGGGAACTGCGTGTTTCGTTAGGGCTGAGGCTGGAGGATCCGTGCAGAAGCAGCTCCGGCTCAGCAGATGTTTACAGCGGCTCCTGCTGGCCTCCATTTCGTGGAGTGTGTGGGGTTTCATGGAGTGTGAGGGGTTTCCTTCCCTGTTCCCTGTTCCCCCCTGCCTGTGAGCTCTGGTAGAGCCTGATCCCAGTTTTTCCCCTGTGAAATCATTGTGCATTTTGCTGTTAACTCCGAGCGCTGAGGGCTGTCCTCAGCTGACAGCTCGATCCCGTGCTGTTTGATGGCCTCAGTGGGATCACTTACACAGTGCAAACATTGTGGAATTAGGTCTGGGTCTGCCTGTTGTGCTTGAAATCTTAGAAACACTCAGGGAATACCTTCAGGGGGAAAAGCCAGAGTGTTAAATCCCACAGGGCGTCCAGACTCACCCTCCTTCCCTTAGATTACATCTTTCCTCCCTAATTCCATGAAATACAACAGGACTAAGAGCACCTAAACCTGCTGCACCTCATTTTGGGCTCTGGGCTTACCTGTTTGTGTGATAAGTGAACCCTGAGCTGGGAACGCCGTGGAAACGAGCGGAGCTGGTTTAGTGGTCGATCCAAACATCCCTCCCTGGAGTCAGAGCCAGGTGCACACCTGGAAAACTCGCTCCTCCTGCCTTCAACAGGTGAGGTGTCAGTATTTTATAAGTGAACATTCATGTGGTTTGTATATAAGATGCAATAAATTATTTTTTTAATAAAATGCTTGACGTTTTGGAACAACAGTGGTGACTTTTTAGAGGTGGTGTTGAATTTGGGGGCGGGGGGGGGGGAAAGAAAAATCTGCTGCAGGCCTGGCATGGAAAGAAAGTGGAAGGAAAAGGATTTTTCATAAAAATCCACCTGCCAATGCAAATATGGGTCAAATGGTGTCAGTGGGACCTGTTTGATGTAAAACCCCTCGGTGCTTCCAGCACACAGAAATTTCCAGGGGCAAATCCCCCTGGAAAGCTGCACCTTTCTCCAGGTGTTGAGCCTCTCCCAGGGTCTCCCAGCAGTGTCAGAGGTGGATGCTCTGACTCACCTGGACGCTCCCCTCTGCTGCCAACAGGCTCAAACCCTGTCCCATTTTCCATGGCTGGCACAGGTGAGGTGTCAGGTAGAGCTGCATGGAGCCTCCCCGTGCCACAGAAACAGCCGGAATCTTCGCCAGCAGCCCGGAAAACTGCAGTGTCAGCCTGTGCCTCCACCTCCGCCGCTGCTCCCGGGCTGATCTCAGCCCCATGACGGCCCTTTTCCGTGGGGAGGGAGGCTGTGAGTCATGGGATGAGTCCCAGTGAGTCACTGAGCACGGGACACCCAACAGCCCTGGGACAGGGGCACCAGACCCCCAGGGGCTACACAGCATGGGGGGCTGGATGCCCCTGTGCCCTGAAACCCCCGGGGTTTGTGACCCACCCTGGGGCCTGGCCACCCCCTGCTGTCCCCAGGGCCTGGTAAACACCCCCCCAACACGCACTGGGGTCTGGCCATCCCTGGGGTCTGGCTGTCCCCAGAGCCTGTGACTCCCCCCTCCCATTGGGGTCTCTCTGTCCCCCTGCCCTCTGTCCCTCCCCAGGGCCTGTGACCCCCCCAGGTTCTCTCTCTCTCCAGATCCCATGAACCCCTCACAGGGTCTTTCTGTTCCAAGATCCCGTGACACCCCAAAGGCCTGTGACTCCCCCAGGGTCTCTCTGTCCCCAGGGCCTGTGACACCCACCCATTGGGTTCTCTCTGTCCCCAAGGCCTGTGACCCCCCCAGGGCCTGTGACCCACTCCAGGCTCTTTGTGTCCTGAAGGCCTGTGACACCCTGAGACCCCTGTGAGCTGAGAACCCTGCCAGGTTCTCTCTCTCGCCATGTCCTGTGACCCCCCCAGGGTCTCTCTGTGTCCCCAGAACCTGTGACACCCCCCGCGCCCCCCCGCCCGCACCGCCCTCTCCGTCCACCAGGCGGCGCCCTCTCTCCCTCCCCACACCTGACGTCATCCCCCCGCGCCCGCACCGTCGCCCCAAGATGGCGGCGCCCAGCGGCAGCGGCGGCGATGGCGGCCCGGCCCGGTACTGCCTGGTCAGCGGCATCCCCGCCGCGCTCCGCTCCGCGCACCTCCGCGCCTACTTCAGCCAGTTCCTGGAGGCCGGCGGCTTCCTCTGCTTCCACTACCGCCACCGTCCCGAGCGCCCGCCGGCGGCGGCGGGGCCGCGTACCTGCTCGTGCCTGGTGTCGGTGAGGCCCGGCCGCGCCCGCCGCTTCGTCCGCATGT